ACACTAGCAGAGCATGGGGATCACAGGACTGATCATGACACGAAGATGACGATCACTGACAGATGGAGATTCGGCTGTGAGGATTTAAGTGTTAAAGTTCATTTTTACAACAAAACCACAGTATACCCAACCTAGCGCTGTGGTTGTTCCTGTCATTTTTCTGATGATTGATACAATAACCTACACTGCAATGCGGGATGACAGACTATTATGTATGGGACTTTGTCAGTAACTGTTACAGCTCATATGGAAAAGTTTCTTCTTCCTCCGGATCATACCATATAGGTGTAACTAAAATTGTTGCCTCATTTTCTGTAGTTTCAAAATATGTATTTAATTGTGTGTTGTAACTTGTAATTGCTCCGTGCAGCATATAATCACGTATCTATTATAGATCAGTGCTTGTACTGTATATCTCAGGTTAAATCTTTATGGGCTATTCACATATTGCGTACAAAACCACATTGAAAATGTGACACGTGCTTCTCCCTTTACTGTTTTAAACGAGTCCTATGCTCACGATATCCTTCTATTTATTGCTTTGACCACCATCAACTTTCAAAATAGTTCAACTTTTGTCAATGTGTGGAATAATACTGAATGTGTGTCATTGTTATTACTTGGGGTTAGGTTTAACAGTAGAGTAATTTGCTGGTGTTTAACTGCATTGGTTTAATGCATTCCTGCATTGGGTTCTCACATACTCTGTGCTACTTCATAGCCATGGTGGCCGTTTCTCTCTGTCTCCTGCTTAACACAGACGACCAATCACAACAGATTAGCCTCACGCAAAGGAGAGGTATGGGAACAAATGAATCTCTGAACAAATCATATGGGAGTCGTTGGGATAATTAGGTAAAAATAAATGCATATTATAAGACAATGAAAAGTTTTTTTTTTTTACCTTGCATGCACATCGGCCTGTTGTTGGAGACCCCCAAAACCACAATATGACCTTTTATAACGCATAATAGGGGTTCTTTAAATGTTATATGGTTGTTGGTGTCAAATAGCTGGTCAAATGGCTAGTCTGAGTATTTCAGAAACTGAAAATCTACTGAGATTTCCACACACAATTACTCTATCTCTGGAATTTGCAGTGTGGTCCAAAAAAGAGAAAATGTACAGTAAGTGGAAGTTATCTGGTAAAAATGCCTTGCTGCTTTCAGAGATCAGAGGAGATTGAATCACAAACTGAATGGGTCAAAACTAGACTAGATCACGCTGAAAGAAAAGCAACAGTAACTCAAATTATCACTTATTACAACCAAGGTCTGTAGAAGAACACACAACAAATCAAACCTTGCAGCAGATGAGCTACAGCAACAGAAGAAGCGCACACTGTAGACACTCCTGTCACAATTAAATATTTAAAAAATAAATGTCTGATGGGTGATGATTTAGAATGGCAGGGTCAGAATTTAACACATACTGTATATATCATGCCATCCTGTTTGGAAACAAGTAATGAAGTGGGTCTGCTAACCCTCAAGACCAGTGTGAAGGGCTCCATTGACGCCATGCGGTCGGTGGGCGAGAGGCGCACAAAGCTGTATGAATCTGCGGCCTTCATGTTTTCTCTACGTAAGCCAAGAAGTTCCACGTCTAATGATTTCATGTAATAACTGGAGACCACTGCGCTTTTCCGAACCCCGACGAACTCCCACACACCACACCCCCACACTTTGTTTTCCCGTCCTTCTTGGCAGAGCTTCATGGAAACGGGCGTCTTTGTAAGTCCACAAAAAAACAGAGAATAAAAAGGCAAGAAAGGGCCCAAAAGTAAATGAAAGCATAACAATACAGTGTCCCTGTGAGATGCCTGCCATGTTCTAACCACCAGGCCCCATTAAAAAGAGCCTGGGCTCCAAGAGAACATGGCAGCATATTGATAGCATATGACTGAGTCACACGAGGACAGCAGCGTCTATTTCTCTCTCTCTTTTTCCTCTGATCTGTCTTTAGGATCAGGGATCAGAGCAATGTTATTTAAACTCAGAAGAGAAAAACAGAGAAGTAATATACCTGCTGGTCAGCCGAGAGTAGAGAAACAAACAAATAGTGGTACAGTAGTGTAAACTCTTCCCCCTTGGTAATGGTATAATTGGACGGCGTGCCACAACATAAGCTGGTGTGAAAAAGAGACTAAAATATATAAACTGGCATCAAGCAGAGAGAAAATGCAAGCCGCTTCACACACACATATCATACATAAATCTTTACAAATAATTTATGAACCCTGTAAAATTAATATTGATATAATAATATTAATTATTTTATTATTATTAATGATAGTATTATTAGTATTATTGATGTATTATTGATGTAATAATAATATTGTAATAATAATATTATTAATAATAATAATTATTACTAAGTATGATGAATACAATTTAAAGAGCTCCTATTTTACCCCCTTTTCAAGATTTAAGATAAGTCTTTTTTTGTCTCCAGAATTTGTCTGTAAAGTTTCAGCTCAAAACACCCATCAGATTACTTATTATGTCGTTCAGAATATTAGAATTTTCTGCTATGAACACACTGTTGCTGTTTTTGTTGCCTGTGCCTTTAATGCGAGTTCTCCCCGCCAACTGTTACCACGTGCATGTCAGAGTGTGTCTCAATCTCCGCCTTGGCTGTGTCAGATAAACAGCACAGTGACAAACATAAAGAAAGAATAACAATAACTTGCCTAATTACCCTAACCTGCCTAGTTTACCTAATTAATCTAGTTAAGCCTTTAATTGTCACTTTAAGATGTATAGAAGTGTCTTGAAAAATATCTAGTAAAATATTATTACTGTCATCATAGCAAAGGTAAAATAGCACAGGTAAAAAAAAAATAGAGATGAGTTATTAAAACTTTTATGTTTAGAAATGTGTTAAAGAAATCTGCTCTTCTTTAAACAGAAATTGGGGATAAAATAAACATTATAAAAATGTTAAAAAAAAAAAAAAAAATATATATATATATATATATATATATATATATATATATATATATATATATATATATATATATATATATATATATATACATACATACACACACAACAGATGCTAGTTAAGGTTTTCAGTATTTCATTCGTGAGCTGTTGACCCAGAATGCTGAAATAACACTATTACCTTTTTTTCAAGAATAATTAGAAAAACATATTAAAATAAATGAATTATTAATACATATGGAGAAATAAATCCTTCCTAATTTGGTGACAGGCATGCTCAAACTGTACTGTGACCACTACATTTTGCTCAAGTCAGAACTTGAGGGTTCTCATTAAAGTGCCATTTCCATTTTCCATTTCCTAAATCCTTTTGCTGGTTTTCGGAGGAGGCAGTGATGATGATTCTGTACCGTTTCATTCGCACTCAGTTGCTGCTCTGAATTCTGTTCTTGGTACTGCAGTGATCTTAGAAATGACAGGGAGAGAGAGAGAGAGGAGGGGGGGGGGAGCCTAAAATATTCTCACATTTACCAACAGGAATCTAATAATTGATACATATTTAACTGATTAGGTGCAACAGTCTGGGTATCTTTAACCTCAAAGTTGATCTTAAACAGACGAGAGTTTATAGTAACATTTTTAGATGCTCTCCCAATAGACTTTATTTATTTTTACTGTGAGTAACTTTGTAAGCACATGAAATTTATGCTAATACTCTGAGGGGGCAAAGTTATTCACACAGTGAACAGAATAACTAAAGATGGCCATCACAATAAAGTGGAAAAGTATTTATATAGTGAGCTGTTTTCAGATCAAGTTCACTTTAGTGATTCCCCCTGTCAGATATTAATATATCTACAAATACAGTCACTTAATAGGAATGGCAGTCTTCCAAGCTCAGTCTTACTCTAGTGGGACCCTGAACAAGAACTGTGGGGGAGAAACAAGAAGACCTCACAGGTCTTAATACCATTTGTTTTGCTGAATTTGGCTGGCATTAAATTAGCTTCATATCCCTAGAACACCATCAGTGAGAAAACAGCAACAGTCCAATGAAATGGTTTAATGTGCTCTGAGTTTTATAGAGGTTGCTATTAACTTTTTATATGTGGGGTGACATTTTGTGCCGAAAAGGCAGGTTATGGGCTTTATGGCGTCATTAGGTCCTGACCTGAGGTCAGCCAGAAGTTAAGGGAAAACTTATATGACAAAATAAAACAACAAATTGGAAATAAATCAATCCTACACTTCTGCTCTGCAACATTTGCGTCCAAATATAAAAACTTCATTCGTTTTTGCAATAGAGATATTGGTTTTTAAACAAACTAACACAGTTTTTAAGACTTGTTTAAGCTCTGGTTCTTGTAAATCGGTTATGTCTGCTTTTGTTAATTAATTAAACTTTGTTTTAAAACAAATTAATTTGTGCAGAAAAGCTATAGTCTACAGAAAATTCCACCAATCTGAGCCGCTGTGAGCCTAAAAAAAAGATCCAAAGTCCCACCTACTCAACTGAAATACCAGTAATGATGCAATAAAGACATTTGATGTTTATCGAACAATCTTTTAATTAGGTGTAATTTCACTTGTATCTATTATTGTTTAAATGCAAAGAGGCATGGGGTCAGAAACAAAGATGAACGATGACTCATCCATTAAATTTGTACATATTAATGTTAATGAAATGTTTGATTAATTAAATATTAATAAACCCTTTTTGACTCAGTGTTTACCACAATGGACATCTCATGTCAGGCCATGTTTTTTTTATTTATTTTTTATTTTTTATTTTTTGCTTTCAAAGCATTTCACCAAATGTAAAGCCTACGGTCCATGATAGTGGACTTATGTCATCCAATCAAACAGCAGTAAACTCTGCCTGTTCTAAGTTATACAATGGAGAGTTTAGACATTAGATATGTATGTCTATTACAATTCATAGTGTGTTATAATAATGTGCATTCTATAAAACAAAAAGCTAAAAATAAGGTTAAAATGTTAAACAGTTCATAACTTCACTGTAGTAACTGTAGTAATTTCAGAAGAAACGTCAAGTAACAATCATTAATTTGTATTATTTTATTTTTTATTTCACATCGGTATAAGGTTTTTGAAGTGAAACAGAAAAATCCGTTAAAAAATATTGACATTTGTGTTATTTGCATTTGGCTTCTTTTATGGAAGGCCTAAAATCAGAAGCAATGTTGTACATTTTTCTGAAACTTGGAACATAATTTAAGTCTGAATGAGATTTAAAAAAAAAATCTACTTATAGAATTACAGCACAGCACAGAAAAAAGTATCTCACTGCCCCTCCTTAAATATGAAACAAGTTACATATGAAGGTAGGATATTACAACTATTTTTCTATGAGCCGAGAAGCAAGAGCTCTGTCTTAACAAGAAGTAATGTGGCTAATCTCAGTTGTGCACCAGAAGATGATGGTGGCATGATTATATTTGACCCTCTAATTCGAAATCCTTCATCCAGCTCACCTGAATAATCAACGCATTTGAAATAATAACGTCAGCAAGTCTGCGGCCTTATTGAGAGGACGTCTGATAATAAAGGAGGAATCCTTCAATAACTCCCGCAATAAAAGTCAGGCCTCTTTTAATAACACATATGTTGGCAGGCCTGAAGTGGGCCGTGTGATTGTGGCAGACGCTTACATCTTCATGGAAAATCTGACAGGCCATTGTTAGTTTGCCCGGATTTTACATTTTGCAAATACGTATAAATAGCTAGTTACCATGCCCCCTTAATTATGCAGCGGGTTCCTGACTGCAACGTACAGCCAGATCTCCGACGCAAGGAAAATAAAAGAGCCATATTTAGATTCGACCACAGTCCTGGGGAAGCCTTGCATCAACCTTTGCTGAGCCTCGGGGGACTTTGTCACAACCTGGCAACCTCAGGTGGAGCAAGAGCCCACAACGTTTCAAGCCACAACTTTGGCTGCCGCTCTGTCGGAGTGGGAACCAAAGACTCTAGAATTCCAGGCTGGAGTCCTCCGGCACAAAGGATAAAAATGGATATGAACCGAAATACGAGGTGGGCCCGCCTATAAGCGCGACACGAAAGCGGTTTCAGGTTTTTTGATTGTTTATTTTTACTTTGTTCTTTTTTCTCCCACATTAAGCACACATATAAAGTTGTTTTTTTCTGTTGTGTGAGTACATTAAAATCACATATACATTCTGTTCCTTAAAAAAACAGCAGAGAGGTAGGTGTAAGGGGTCATATGTTTTGAATTATAATGTACAGTATGCGTTAGGGGTCACGCTATGCCATGTGCTTATCTGTGAACATCCTGCCACTGTCTGCCTTAAGAAGAGATCTGAAATTGTCCCCCAGAGAGTCCCAGGAGAAAGAGCTCAGGCTCACCTAGGAAAAAAAAGAGAGAGACATAGAGAATAAAGGGAAGGAGATGGGAAAAGCAGAGAACAGTGAAAGTGTTATGACAGAATGGGAATCCCATTGTTTTATGATTAGTTAAGCAGTGGTTCTCAAATGGCTTCGCTTCAGGGTACAGATTTTAATACTTTTATAATGTTGCATGAGACTTCAAATGAGAACTCAGTACCACAACTTTAAATCAAACATTTAAATGTATGTTTTTATTATTACTTCTTCTATCCTCCATTTTATTTCTGAGTTGTAAAATGTAACTTATTCAGCACTGCGACTTACTTGCGTGCTATTTGCGTTTTCTTTAAACTACACAATTTTGACCCAATGCAAATATATATAGTAAACAGACGACTCTATTTTTTTTATTGTTTTATTATTTTTTTTAGAATGCAAGAATTGCTTAGCTTTCTTAACTTTTCCAGAATTTTTAGAACTGAACTACAAACTACCAGATTAGAGCTTTCGATAAAAAGCTTGAACTTATTTGTTACACAACTTTAAAGAACGTCTAGCCCTGTTTACAACTGGCATTAAAATGCATTATCATCAATCTGCCCACAAATGGACAATGCTAAATAAAGATGTAAAAAGGGTTCAAAACAAAAAAAAAATATTCAGTAAGCTTTGGATTAGTAGAGGCTCAAGTGGTCAAATGTTGATGATGATGGGCAGAGGCCAGAGGACAATTTGGCCAGGAGGCCGAGGTTTTCGAAGGATTTCCTGGGATTTTTAAAAACCACAGAAAGTGAGGAGCCTCATCTCATCTGAAAGATGGCGTTCACTGAGTAGTATAGAGTCCCCATCAATATACTGGGCATTAGGACCCACACAGACAGCAGGTCGAGAACCCCATGCTGTCCTCACTAACACCACTTCCAGCAGCAACCTAATCTTTCCATGTGGTCTCCCAATCAGGTACTGACTGGGAGCAGACCTGCTTAGCTTCAGTGGGTGACCATGTGAGAGTTGCAGAGAGCTAGCTGCCAGCATATTGAAATACATATTTCAAATACAAAATGGTATTTTGTAATCTGTACTTGATAGGGTTTATGAAACTGGCTTAATATTTTGTATCAAAATAATTTAGTGTTTTGTATTTTGGTATTTTTAAAATACTGTAAAATATTTAGTAAGAAGTCTACAGTACATGATGACATCTAAAAAATAAGGCCTCTGATTGGTTCTTTCCCCCTTATTTTCCCAAGCTTGGGTGTCTCGGTGCCACAGGTGCAAATACAGAGGAATGTAAATATGGTAAACAATGGTTAATATAGTTTTTAAGAGGGTAAACAGAGACTCTTCCAGACAAAAACTGACAAAAATCTTGGGAGAATGAGTATACTGTACAAACGATAGACTGTAAGATTGTAATTTGTAACTCAAAGAGAAACACAAGTTACCTTTGGGTTACAAATTTAACTCACTAACCACTAGGTCACAACTTTCCCCTAGGTGAACGAAGTGGCAGAGAAATCTGCAAAAGTTGTTTACTTTACTAAGTCAGTTGAATGGTGAAGGGATTGATCCAATAGGATTATTGATGGAAGGTTTGCAAAGAAATTTCATGTCACATTTTAAAAGTATTTAGTAGTATTTTTTAAATACAAAAACACAGTGTTTTATTTTGATACATTTATGCCTGCTGTATTTTGTAGTTTATTTTGATACACTTAAAATTAATGTATTTGTTATTTTAGTTTAAAATACATTTCAATAGTACTGTTAATACCAACTGTTTGTTTGTTTCATAATGGCAGCTTCTATGGCTATTTTCATGGTGAGAAAATGTAAACTGGAGTAAGATATTATTACAAGAGCAAGGAATTTTAAACTTTGTTCTAAACAAAAGCAACAGCAGCCAATAGGAGAAATATTTTCCATATTAAAAGGAGTTTTTGTCCTAACACACAACCTCGAATTGATATATTAGAAATGGCTTCTATTTCTCACAGGTGAACAACAGAAAACTATGACAGTTATCACCTCAAGTTAACCTGTACTATTTGCAGAGTTAAATGCTAACAATGTGAGTTTGAATGCCACAATAAACTTCAGCATTGTTTTCCAGATAAACAAGTGTTCACATGGCATGTTTCCTAAATATCTGCAAACATAATATATTTTCATGCTTTAGAAGAGTCAAAAACTTACATACAGCATCTTTAAGGTGAATACAAAAACAATCCTCACAGAATTAAAGCCAACAAAATCAAATAGAACCAATGTGCTTTTGAACACGTGAAAGGATCTTCTAGTATTAAAAATGTGTGTGTCATTTTGTGTGATTCTACAGAGGGTATACAGTAAACTATCTAGTTGAATACCGACTGGAAAAGGTAAAGTGTCCCTACTGACTAAATAACTGACAATGCATTTCGACAACAGGTGCAAACACAGTCTCTGATTCCAGTAAGAGGTTTAACTTGCACTGATTACTGATCATGTTTACTGGCACGTATTTGCCTTGATGAAAATGTATTCATGCACAATTCCAGAACCAAGTCTTTGTAGTCAATTTGATTTCCAGGAAAATGAGCACTGTTTACCTGAACAACATGTTGTCTGGCTAATTGCGGACGCTTGCAGAATTCCTGTAGTCTTTTGCACAGCTGTTCAGGTGTTGAATACAGATATGTTGCTACAAGAGGAAAATACATATTTGATAAGTAAGAAACCTCAAAGAGCAGATGAGATAGCAGGCACTTTCAGCATTAAAAATTCAGCTGACACCATGCTGTGTGATGCTGTACATTATTGAACTGTGGTTATATTTATTTATTTATATAAAAATGCCAGAATAGTTTATGGCAAATTCTTCCGATTGTGCTTTAAGATGAATAAGTCATTATATACAGAAGTTGAACATAACGGCTTTGCCTATGACAATAAATCTTCTATTGCATGTGAAATCAAGCTGCTTTTATCTTCACAGACAAATCAGGAAAATTAGAGAAGAATTTTACCAGGGAATATTTCAGGGTAGACCAAAGCCTTCGGACACAGGGGGTAACATCCACAATGCACTGCTTCTAACCTGAAAGAAAAGATTTATGACACATGCTGTAGGGCTCAATTCCATAGTGCATCTGTACTGTATTGACTAAATATATTGAAATGACTTGGCTCCATTTCTCCAATTAGCAATTTCTGAAAGCTCCGAAGAAGTTCAGTGCTATGAGACTGACAACAAACCAAAACAGTTGCCAATACTGAACAAAGCCATCATAACTGGCTGGGACATCGCTATTTTTCCATCTTGCATCCAGCCAGATGAAGTTGCAACTTGTCATACCATATCAAAGCATTTAATAGCCTTTTTTAAACACCTAATGGACTCTGATAATGCTACCTCACAGCTATGGCATAGTTCTGCACTCATGCTTTTACTTCATCAAATAGTTCAATCTAGGGCAAACTTTGCTCCCAACTGATTCAACTCATTTGAACCCCTATTGCTGGCAGTGAAAATGACCGGCTGTTTAAATATTTTGTAGAATGAGTATTAATATTTAATGAGTCTATCCATCTCTCCCTTCACCATCAGATCCTCATCTCATTTCCCATGCTAAAACCATGCATATTTTAATATCCGATTAGCCCTCTGCCATTCACCGCTGAAATTTCAAGATTCTGATTGAGCAATGGGACAAATCTCTGCAAAAAAATTGGTGGATTTGTGAAACCTCTCAGTGTCCTGAAGTTGCGCTTCAAAGTGGTTTGTATTGTTACATATTTAATGGTCACTCATACACTGATAACCAAAAGCTGTAAGATCTGCGACAAGAAAACGAAGCACACAATTTCTTTTGTTTTGCTTTTTGACCACACAATTATGGAACAAACTGACACTCTTAAAAATAAAGTTTCTTGACTGGCAGGTGATGGTTCCATGAAAAACCTTCAACACCTAGGGACATTTTCATTCTTTATAATGGGTTTTTTCAGATTATTAAAATGATCTTCAATATATGATTAAAATTGCTCTTCACTCCTTTTTTGAAACCAGTTTTGGGTTCTTCTTGACACTATTATGTTTAAGACTGCACTTTACATGCTTTACTGAATTTGCCCACACTTTCTTACTGTACATGTTATTTTCTATAAACAATTGAGAAACCAGGATCTTTGACGGTTCTTGAGATGTTTAACTTTGAAAAACTCATTTAAGCTTCCTGTATATTGATTCATCTGGTCATCAAAGCCAGCAAAATGCATTCTAACACAGTCCAAAGAATTTTCTTTTTCACCAAACCAATACATGCACTTTTATTCACATCCCCTTATTCCAAGTTCCAACAAATGATAAGCCAGTTGGATCGCCCAAACCAGAACACACTGCCACGTTGCTATAATTTCTCGACAAAGGAAAAGAAAAACAACAGCACAACAGTCCCCGTCCTTGAGCAAACACCAGGCAGGGAAGGTTTAGTGTAGTATTACCTACTCCACAACATCAACATCCCCTTCCCCTGATCAAATTCACAGTGAACACAGTAAATCAAAGTCGCTCGGCTGGAGTCTATGACAGGCCGTCGTATGAAACTGATTAAGGTCAGTTCCATGTCAATGCAGTTAATGTGTGAGCGTGCAAATGCTTATCAGGCTTTTCATCTCAAATATAATTAGGCGATCATTCTGCTTGGCTGCCTTACTGTTTTTCTGGAGGGCACGGATGGGCGTCTGCTGACAATTAATCAGATTAGGCTAATTTCCACAATAACGAGGACAGAACACGGTGGAGAAAAGTCCCCTTGCGTGGCGCAGAGTTGACCAATGAGACGAGAGCGCTGACGGTCGAAAGCATTTGAGCAGGTGATTCGAGTTCTGAGATCTTCTGACCCATTTCTCATGGCATCAGATCTTTGCAGCGAAATTGATTTAGAAAGTGGATGCTACTTCAACTCCAGGCACTTCTTTATGTCCCAAAGGTAGATTTTAAATTAAGTAAACCCATATAAATGTTATTACTTTTTTGTTGTATTAAGGTCACAAATAAATCTTGGAAACATTTTATTATGTCTTCCTTAATTATATGTTTATACTTTTTAAATGTATTATGTGCAGATTTTACTGTTTTATTCTTGTCCCACTGAATATCTAAAATAATTAATCCACTTAGATATCAAACACAGCAATAAAATGGATGTTTAAACGTTAAAAGTGCTCATTTTATCAGAGAATGTTTGCAGATATGTGACTGAACAAACCATTGCCATTATAATCTGGTGAAAATGTTCATTATTTGGAGAAAAAAATAGACAATTGGCTTATGGTGCGCTCATTCTTCCACCTAAGAATTAATTACCCTCATTCAGCCCAATTCAAATGAGACGTTCTTTTTTCTTTTCTTTGGAAGTTAAACATTATTAAGAAAGGCCGACAGCAGGTGTTTGATCAGTGTTTGAACACACACATGGCCCGAGGACATAAATGTAAAACACGCAGCTGAGGAGACTCCATATTGCTCCCCTCCACTGGACTTTGATCTAATGAAATCTAGAACAACATTGGCCGTATGCAGTAAAAGTCCCAGAGGGAACAAGAGTCTAAAGCGTTACCTTACAAAGCAAAGGATGTTTCCATCAAACTGGTATCACAGCTCAGAAAATTCATCAGAGCTGTCATCTATTATAATGTATATATTTAGTGTACAGAACAAGAATGACTGATTCCCCCAATGCAGGATGCCCTCCTGTTGGATCAGTTCTATCTCAGCCCTTGGCATTATTTGGAAAATTCTTCAAAAGTCCAGCACAGGTGACTGAAGATACCGATCCAGGCAATGCAGAACACATCAATCGTGGTGCTTTCAAAGAACTCTCAGTAAAAAAAAGAAGAAGAAGTGAAACACCCCCAAAAAAGGACATGCCTCTGGGATTAAAAGCAACCTTTCTATGATAGCATGAACATTTCTGGCCATGTTTGGGACTTTTACATTCATATTTTATATATGTTCAAGGTAACCTTCGCATTTTGTTTGAAAATGTGATGTGATGGATATCTATGAGATGGAACATTCTTTTAACTGCATCGATATTGTTGTTTTACATTACCCTCTACAATAGTGGTGAAACATGATGGAAACATGATATTTCCAATCACATGCTTTTTTAGGATTTACTTAATTTACTCAAGGTATTTGAAAATGTCACCTTCAAAGCAATCAAGATGTTCCTTTTTTTCCCCAACAGTGACATTAAGTAAAGATAATTTGGGTTATAACTTTGGCACCGAACCAACACATACATTTTCTTTATCTGTTATTACGCCATTCTATAAATAATATTAAAATAATAAATAAATAAGGTGACACGGTGGTGCAGTGGGTAGCACAATTGCCTCACAGCAAGAAGATCGCTGGTTAGAGCCTCAGCTGGGTCAGTTGGCATTTCTGCTGGAGTTTGCATGTTCTCCCCGTGTTCACGTGAGTTTCCTCCGGGTGCTCTGTTTTCCCACACAAGTCCAAAGATGTGGTATAGGTGAATTGGGTGTGCTAAAATTGGCCGCAGTGTATGAGTGTGAATGAATATGTATGGATGTTTCCCAGCGATGAGTTTTGAAACATATGCTGGATAAGTTGGCGGTTCATTCCGCTGTGGCGACCCCAGATTAATAAAGGGACTAAGCCAAAAAGAAAACAATAAATGAATACTAAATAAATAATATGATTTAAATAATTATGTTTTAATCTTATTTTCAGCATTTTGCATCAAATAAAAACAGTTTTTTTTAAATCTGTTTTCTTGACTTCAGAAGAGTTAACCAATGCAGTATATGGTGGAATAATACTGATTTTAGTCACAGCATTTGAAACATATTTTGACCAACTGTAATTTTTTCCTGTAAAAATGTAACTTATAATATTTCTATCTGGAATTTGAAATAAATTATATAAATCCTGACAAACCCAAAAACATGCTTCTAATAAATCTAATAATCTATTTATACTGAGAATTTAAAGCAGACTCTTTTAATAAAGTGTGAGTGATTTCATAGAGAAGGTGAACTTCTACATTTAAAAAAAATGTTTTGTCAGAAAAGCCACAAAAAAGAAAGACTTCTCAATAATTTTGTGTCATCATGCTTCTGTCTAAGGAAGAGCTTCTATGTGCTTATTGGTCAAAATACAGATTGACAGAACCCATTTTGAAGTGCCAAAAAAATCTCTTTTTTTTCAGGATTAAGCTATTAGCTTAATCACCGAATGGTGTTTCCATCCAAAAATGCTAATTAAATGTATGTGCAAAACTTAAATATTGCATAAAAGACGTGCAAATAAAGCAGCACTTCCATCTAACAACTGGCGCCAAATATCAACAGTGAAAATGGAATTTTCTGCAGAAGAAAAAGCTGCGTCAATCTTTTCCTTATTTAATAAATGACTTGCGCCTCAGAAGACAGTATGTCAACACGTAATGAACACGTGGTGGCGTTTGAAGGCATGACATGTGGAGCACAGACGCTATTGACAGTTTTGGAGGTAATTAATAATTTAATTACACTAAAACTGAAATGGTAAAGGAATTTTAAAATAACCAAAAGAACATTTCAGGTGTTTTACAATGTGCTCAGCCTGCTGGTTTGTCCATTCACACGCATTTTTATTATCACATGATATCTTGACCTTTTTTAATGCACATACTGGAATTTGTTCGGTAAAAGTGTTTCCATCGAAGTTCATGTAATGTTATCTTACTCGGTCCAAATTTATGCGCATGTTGGCGTTGCCATCATTTATCATTTATGTGCATATTCAAAAATGTGCATAAAAAAATTTGGATGGAAAGTATTGAATATTGCGCCCTTATGCACTTTTGTTACAAATCATCATAGTCTACATAAATTAGGCCTCAATTGATTTGATCTTGTGTAGTCGAACCAAAGTTCAAACCACACTCTCTAGCACATGCTCAGCACTTCGCCACAACTGTGGTGTTAACTGTGTAGTATGTAGGATTGACATTCCAAATCCACAATATTGGAGGCAGCTTTATTTCCACTAGGCCCATCCGATGATGACTCGATGCAATCTTAGGTTGCTAGACTGACAACACCAACAGAACAAGCATGCCTGATGATCAACCTTACACAGTATGCTGCTCATCTTGGTTAGTTTGCATTTGTAATATTCATATTATTTGCTAAATGCAAACCACCATGCATGGATTTTTATAACTCTGAATCTGCGTCTCATTTCAGAGGCTGCTTCAGATTTTGGGCCACGTACACTGTAAAAATGCTGGGTTCCACTCAATCGATTAGTTTTGGGAAAACATGAAAGAATTACTATAAACTAATTTATTAGTTTTTACCAATTTAAGTGGATTGAACATAAAACAAAAAAAATATTCTCCCAAAATACCAAGAATTTTGTTATTTCTGCTCATTTTAAGTAAGTAGTTTGAACAAACAGCAAATGTCATTTTTTAAATGTGTGCATATATTAAAAGAGCCTTCATGACTGAAATTAAATATACTGTTTCCACCAAGGCAACCAGGGGTGCCAAAATATAATTGACAGAATATAATAAAAATAAACTGGCTGTGGTCTGAGTAACAAAGACTAAAACAAAGACATTATGAAACAGAATGCATATTTTCAAAGAAGAATAATTGACTTTAGCATTGTTATTTCAAGTCAAGAAATCTGTTCACTTACCATGTTTCTTAAAAATCTGCACACATACTATAATATTTCTATGCTTTAGAAGAGTCAAAAATCTACATACAACACCTTTAAGTCAAGCCTCCCATTTTTACAACAAAAATGGCATTAAATAAAACTTTAGTCAAATCTGTCTGTCAAACATTTGGGTTATGCAATGAATTCTTTGGTAATTGACTAAAACGAAAGTCTAAATTGACTAAATCTGATACCTTTTGCTAATTTTCATAAAAGCAGCAAACAACACTTACACTAATAAACACAAATAAACCAGTGCGGTGACTTTCTGTTTGGAGAGAACATATTTCAGTGACAGACAGCAGATGAAACTCACATTGCTACTCCGAAAAACTCGTGCTTGGCTGTGGAAACGACGACATCTGCTTGGCACAGCACTTTGAGGTAATCTTCCTTACTGGGCATGAAACCCCAGTGCTGGATGTGGTCAACCAACTGTTCTTTGGCTTCAGAAAAGATGTCTATAGTGGGAGAGAACGGAGAAAGGGACAGAGGCCTCAATATCGATGTGTAGTAATTAGCGGAGAGAGGGATGTTTAAAGTTTTGGTCATATTTTGTGTGGAGATAAAATAAGCAAGGTCGTCATAAATTTGGACATAAAACTGGAGAAGGGCACAAATAATCAATAACGTGATTCTATTAGCAAAATCAAAATAGATTAAAACCGTTTCAGCGTGATTGCCTTCCGAGCAATCGTAAACATAATTTCATAACATGAGCAACCTTTACGATCTGTTTATTCCTTTCGGTCCCGTGGCTGTTTATGCCACGATAAAAGTTCACATCTCAATATAAGAGATTGTGTTTCCTGTAAGTCTGGCTTTGGCAGCGCTTGGCTGTGCAGACGCATAAATGAAATGAACACAACGCCATAAATGCTTAAGACTGTCCGAAAGATATTAAAACATAATTGTCCACTAATGGGGAGTGTATTTTACCAATGAAAACATCGCCTGTGTTCGATAAACAGATGATCTTTGAACCTAAAGCGATGCACTTAACAAATTTGTTTCAAAGTTAAACATGTAATTACATTTATTCATGAAATCACAGGAGTCAAACAACTAAATCATTCTATGAAAAGTAAGGAAAGAACAGGAGGGAAAAAGAGGGTTTTCCTGATTATTTTTTGTACCCCTGTGTTATAAATCTGCTAATTCCTGAGTTCCAGTCCACTCCCTGTATTTCCCTAGAGCTAGGTTTCATTTTTGATACTTTAAATGACAACTAGACAACTACAATTTGTCATGACTACTCAACTCATATCAAATTTTGATTAAAGCAGTCAAAACCAGTCAGAAAAAAAGACAAACACTTCTTTTCAATGAATTTGTTTTCTTCTAGTCACACATTTTGTCACTTATCAAACACATATATAATAAAACAGGGCTGTTTCATGTGACTCCATAAGAAATTGTTTTTTTTTTTTTTTTTTTTTTTAGATTAGATTCAACTTCATGTCATTACACATGTAGATGTACAAGTACAAGGGAACGAAATGCAGTTTAGGTCTAACCAGGTTTGCATTAGTATTAGTTATAAAGTTCAATTCTAAAAAAAAAAAACATGGGTGATAGTTACAGATGGATGTACTATGAACATTATATACAGGTTGTATTTACTATGAACAGAGATTTACAACAGATCAATATATGTATAAGTTGCTATTAATAATCAGAAGTATGCGAATAGATATGAGCATAACTACAAATGTATGAACTACTGGTCAAAAGTTTTTTTTTTACTTATTAATTTTATTTATAAAAATTAATATGTTTATAAAGGCGGCATTTATTAAATGTCGGGGGAAACCGGAGCACCCAGAGGAAACCCACACGAACGCAGAGAGAACATGTAAACTCCACACAGAAACGCCAACTAAGCCGAGGCTCGAACTGGCGAACCAACGCCGTTCTTGCTGTGAGGCGACAGCACTACCTACTGCACACTGCTTCGCCTTTATTAATACATTAAAAGTCAATCACAGCAAAAAAGAGAAAAAAAATTCTCTAAAAAAACTTCTAATGTAGTTTAACCTCAGAAAAAAATACTATATAAAAAGGCAGCCCATGACCCTTTAATAATAATAACTGTAATTAAATGAATAAATGTGGATGGTGTTTTACTTCCTCTGGTGTGCATTTTACCTGAAACCTACACACACATTGCTTCAGTACTTTTTTTAAATAGTCCTGGGTAGCTGCCAGTATATACATATGCATTACCTACATAAGGAGGCAAGCAAACAGGTAAATGTAGGTAAAGAGAGCTTGTTTTGAAAGATGTGCTGTATAAAAGCAAGCAATATCACATAATAATAGCTCAATTATATCCCCGTGTCTAATCCCCACAGGACATGATGTACCTGGAACGTCAGTGAAGGTCTCTCCCAGGACAGAAACTTCAAAGCTCAGCTGTCGGTCTTTGAGTTTCAGTAAGGTCTGGAAGAACAGCTGTGGGTCTTTGTCATGTTCCCTTGAGCCAGAAAGAGACAGAGAAACAAAACACTGACTTTTTCACAGTCGGAAACAATAACATAATTACAAAATAATTAATTGCAGGAAAGTAAAAAAAATATTATGAAAAGGGAAGGCAAAAACTAAGCCCAGAAAATAAAACTCAGCTCCCATCATATTAAAGATTACATTTAATTATATAGCAGACCATTTTAGCCACACTGCTCTAAAAATGAAGAAATCCAAGCCATTTTTGTACAATGAATGCACAGTAAGCCAGTCATAACAAAGAAAAGATACTGTAAAGCATTAAAAATAAGAAACAGGAGAAATAAATGTGAGAAATAAAATGCATTTTTTGGCCTGTACCAATAAAATTTCTTCCTTTAAACCAAATAAGGCTTGCCATGACCACTATTTAGTCTTGGTGGAATAGATCTGCTTTGCTGCTGCTGCTGCTTTGATAATTATGGCAGAGAAATTACCGAGACTTGTTTTGCAGTCTGAGAATATAAAACACTGATGCTGCAAACATAATATACATGCAATCCATTATAGAGAATGTAAACACAGGTGGAGTTGAGGTGGAGGAGGGTCTCTGAAAAACACACTGCAACATAGAACAACACTGAGCATTTAAAATGTTGAGGAGCAAGCTCATTTGTCAATGAGGTGACAGCAACCAATCTACTGTGACAAAGTTGATGACCTGTGCGTGTATAAATTTTCACGACAGAACTTTGTCTTTTTCATTTTGAGAACAAAATCCCATTTGATGATGATGATTATCATTATTATTAATAATAATAATGATAATGATGATCGTACTAATAATAATAATAATAGGGCAGGACAGTGGTTAACAGCAACAAGGCGAGAAGACTGTCACCTCCTCCTGTTTGTGTCCTCCAGGTGCTCCGTTTTTCCCCACAGTCCAAAGACATGCGCTATATGTGAATTAAATAAGCTAAATTGGCCGTAGTGTACGTGAGTAATTGTGAGAGTGAATGGGTGTTTCCCAGTGCTGGGTTGCAGCTGGAAGGGGATCCGCTGCATAAAGCATATGGTGGATAAGTTGGTGGTTTATTTTGCTGTACAAAAGTCGTCTCTGATAAAAAAGGGATTAAACCGAAAGAAAATGAATGAATGAATGAATTAATATAATAATAATAATAATACTAAATTTTATATTTTCAAACATTTTTATTTTTTTATTAATGTTTAGAATATTCAGAATATTTAAGAAATCAATATTAAGTGGAATAACCCTGTGTGTGTGTTTCCAAAGATAACAAATTGAAACATTACAAATGGTAACCAAATATGAATAAATGCCAATATATAATATTTAACATTTAATATAAAATCTACATTTTATATATATATATATATATATATATATATATATATATATATATATATATATATATATATATATATATATATATATAAACAAGAATCACATTTCTTTTTTTCTTCTTTTTTTAATGACCTTCCAACTATTCTGTTTACTCATGTATGTAATGTTATTGTGGTAATAACAAAAAAAAACTAACTGGGAAAAGGTGCAAATCTGTGAGGTAATGAAACAAGCTCTGATGAAATTTCAGTGTTTGACATTTTCAATTTCGATTTCTCAGAAACGTGTAAACAAATGGAAATGTTAATACAATTATTTACACTTGAGGTGCGTGGTATGAGTTTCTGAAAGTTGCTCTTTGAATCCCAGCTCGTATACCTTAATTACACATGAGAAGCGGAGACCACATGTTCTGTCACTGTGATCCGGCCAGGAGTCTGATTGCTGGTGCACTTCCATTAAACTACTGAGCTCAGCCAAGAGATCTGGTGAGCAGCTTCACAGAGATCACTGGCAACGGTTCGTTACCTCAAAAATAGTTCACTCTGAAGTGCGCCTTCAAATCCAAGGCACACTTTACAGGTTTTAAGAAGATTAAACAAGGAGTACTTCAAAGAATTCATTAAATGCCATTTCATTTTTTTTTGTTCTATGAAAAGCTCAGGAAGTGCTCTTGATCAATTGAAAAATCTAAATAAAATAAAATAAAATAAAATGTACAGAATATAATAGAATAGAAATTAAATAAAAATTTTAAAAATTCAAACGTTGACTGGAGTTGGACAGAAAAATTTTGGGCAGCAGTCACACACACAGTTTTGCTATTCTGGTGAGGACTCTCTATAGATAGACATAATGATATTTCTACCGTAGAGACTTTATATTCTATCCCCTAAACCAAATCCCTTAAAGAAAACATTTTGCATTTTAACATTTTCAAAATACTTAATTCTGTATGATTTATAACCATGTTGATGTATAATTATTAGTCTTCATCTGGCCTCAAAACTGTTAAGCATCTCAGTTTTTAAACTTTCTCTTTTATTCTTCAACAAGGCAGAAGTTTAAAGAAAGCTTTCAAGTAAAAGTTTCACCTTTTCTGCCATTTTAAAGTCTCTTCGAACTTAAAACAAGTAATTTTTTTATGCTAGTATTAGTTTTTTAGTCTAAAGAACATCTAAAATCTAGTGTGCTACAAAACAATCACAAAATTCACATTAAGATGATATAAACATCCAAAGTATGCAGTTTGTCACTAAATCAGGGGTGCCCAAACTGTTTCTTATGAAGGTCCAAATGTCAAACTTAACTGAGGGCTGTGGGCTAAAGATACATTAAAGTTTCCATAAGTAATCTCCTAAAATATTTCCTAATATTTAAAAATAACTATAAAACATTGCCTAGCGAACATTAACAAATTCACTACATAAAAAAAAATGTTTAATACATTTATTACAGCAAAAACATAAACAATCCTATTAATACAATGGAGTTCAATGGTGAATAGAGTAAGCTGCACCTGCCTTTGCCTTGATTTGTCCGCCAATGTCTTGTGCATTGTCTGACATCCGTCAAGTGACAGTATTTACATTTTTTTTTTTAATCCGATGAATTTACTAAACCAAAGAAATTACAGAACAAACAAACCAAAGATTAAATTACATTTGAAATGATATGTTTCAAAGATATTCATCCCAACCACCAATCCATTATTACCCCTCTCTTTTCAAATAGAATGGTGGGCCAAATCAAAGGTTAGAAAGGGGCAACTTTGGCCCGCATGTCCTAATTTAAGCATCTCGGACCTAAATGGATAAAATAATTTATTGGCTTCATCTCATTTAGTTTTTCGACAAAACTTTAGACCAATTCAATGACATTTATTTGACCACATATCTGGCTAAATGGGCTTGAGCTCAAAAGGAAACGCTTTTTTAAAAGTGTGAGGGGTTACTCCATGTCCTGCCCTGTCTTTATGTTTAAGTGTAATTTATGTCAAACATTGAACCAAAATACACATTTCAAAGTATTTCACGGGACCTTTAAGTTCATTCAGGAACCAAAATGTTCACTGCTGTATCAAAAAGCACCCTTTTGGCACCTTCATTTTGAAGAGTATGGCACTATTCTGAAGTCAAAAAGATGAACGTATATAACTAACATGCTGACAATAACACGTCTGATAAAGAAGCTTTTCCTCTGAACACACCGGCCCTCAACAAACATCTCTGAAATCCTTCTCTTTAGCCCAAACTGTGCGCTGAAGTCCTTTGAAAACCCTGACAGTGGAGTGGTGATCCATTCGGCTCATCCTCTCGATAAAGCGGAGGTATGTTAGCGAACAACGGCCTTACAGAGCTCATACACGTCGCACAAAAGAGGCTTTGACAAATCTCTGAGCTTGTCGACACTGGCGTTCTGTACGCTGTCTCAGAAAGAGCTCGCCTCACAAAAAAATGACGACGTTGAAGGTCAAAAACAATTACCGGGGCAGAAGCGCTTTGACAAAAGACACCTCCCACTTGGGTGGAATCTCCTTAGATGAGGTATTAGTGAGGGCTTATTTCCTCTCATTTCCGGTTCTTTTATGTTGCCTTTTCCCCCATGGCTCGACGTTGATTCCCTCATTAATTTTGCAGCCTCTTTGATTCGCTACATTGTGGATGTGATTGCTACCTCCTCCGGTCTAAGACTGGTTGACCTGCGGGGAGGTGACATGGCGACTGCAGGGATGCCTATTACCCGGCCTGTCAGTCTAGTGACTAAAACAGCCTTCACGAGCCCATGATGCCTTATTTCCTACTGACAGCATAGCGGAGGGTTAATTAATATGTCAGTTATGTTATGCAGGGATTGCTGGGGCTCAACGTGCCACTCACGCTAAAAGTGGAAGACTGGAAGAGAGACCCGCACAAACACACGTAAACACGAGTTCACTGGAGGCTGGTCTGTGAGGTCTCTGTCATTAGTGCAGATTAATAAACCTACAACACAAACATATTAGTGATTATTGGAAAACATCTAGGAGGTGCACTGGAGGACTTTTAAATGCAGATGTTGATGGTGGATGGCAAACTTATGGATGACCCACATAAAGTTAAAATAAGAGAATATACAGTAGAACTAGTTTTTCATAAGACTTGGTAGTATACATAATAACATAATTAAATAAGCAAACAATATATTTATCATTAAAAGTTCATACTAGATGCAATATGATTGCAATTTAAATAGTTTGTATATGAATATATTTTAAAATGCACTCTATTTCTGTCATGGCAAATTTTCAGTAGCATTGCTCCAGTTTTTAATGTAATATGCTTTTTTGGTCATTAAATAAAATCATTATTATCAGCAATATTAAGCCGTTCTAAGTGTAATGTACACCTTTTATTTGAATTACAAGTTTGTTCATTTTTTTGTGTTAAAGTTTTTTAATGAGTTGAATAAAATGTGTTTTTGTTTGTTTGTTTTGCTTTTGTCCTGAACCAATAACGTTTCTTCTAAATTTAAACCTATTTAAAACTAAATTTACATTTGTAATGAACACTTTCAGAGAGCTTTAGTATAGTAATAAATATGTATATGGCAAAATTGATGCATTTGCCCTTAGGTGGAAGAGGAAGAGTTATGCTGCTGCTGCTTTGATTATTATGGCA